AAATTATATTATTACCTTGATGGATGTGAATTTGAAGTCATTACTGATTGTACAGCCCTCAAAAGTTTATTAAGTATGAAAACTCCAAATAGACACATGCTCAGATGGCAAATAGCTATTCAAGAATGGAGAGGAAGTATGACTATCAAACATAGAGAAGGTAATATACATAAAAATGCTGATGGACTTAGTAGATGGTCTTTGGAAAATATACCAGATAACCCAGCATGGGACGGAGAAATTGCTGCAAAAATTATGTGTTTATTCCCAGAGGAAAATAATGAAAATAATCCTGCCTTTGATGATAACACTGATGATATTAATATTTGTGGGTTACACGTGACTGAAATGCAAGAAGAATTTTGGGATGAAATCAGAATTAGTTATGACCAAAATAAAAATTGCTCCACAATAAAAGATATATTACAAAGTAATTTCAAAAATAATGATCTGATAAATTCCTTAGAAGAACCATGGCTTAGCTCATTTAAAGAAAATAGATTCTCCCTATTAGATGGATTAATTTACCACAGAATTAAACATACAAGTGTAGTAGTTATTTGTTTGAAAGAACACATTAATTTATTTTTGAAAGAATGTCACGACAATATATCCTCAGCTCATTTTTCCTTTGACAGAACAATTGAGAGAGTTAAACAAATTGCTTGGTGGCCTAATTTTAGAAATAATACCAAAGATTATTGTGAATCTTGTGACAGATGCCAAAAAGCAAATAAAGCTACAGGAAAAAGGTATGGATTATTGCAAGAAATTGAAGAACCCAAAGAAAGATGGTCTGTTATTAACATGGATTTTGTTACTGGCTTACCACCCGGAGGACCTAATAATTTCAATGCAATTTTGGTAGTAGTTGATAGATTTTCCAAAAGAGCAAGATTTCTACCGTGTCATAAAGAAGATACAGCAATGGATACTGCCTTATTATTTTGGAATTCTATTATTTATGATGTTGGATGTCCCAGATATATCATTACAGACAGAGACCCTAAATTTACGTCAGAATTTTGGAGAAATTTGTATGATTTATGTGGGACACAACTGAAATTTTCTACAGCTTACCACCCCCAAACAGATGGACTAGCTGAAAGAATGATTCAAACTTTGGAAGACATGATCAGAAGATATTGTGCCTATGGAATGACATTTAAGGATAAAGACAACTATACTCATGATTGGTGTTCATTATTACCTGCACTTGAATATGCTTACAATTCTAGCAAACACAGTACAACAAATAAAACACCTTATGAATTGGAAAGAGGCTGGACTCCTTGGTTTCCCAAAGAAATTTTAATGTCAAAAGCAGTACATATACACCCCAGTGCCTCTGATTTTCATTTTATGATGACCAAAGCTGAAAAATATGCAGCAGAATGCGTGAAATTAGCTGTAGATCACAACAAAACTAGATGGGATAAAACTCACAAAGCTCACCAGTTTAAAATTGGAGACCAAGTCTTGATATCTACATTTAATTTTACAAACCTGACTGGACCCAAAAAATTAAGAGATTCTTTTGTAGGACCTTTTACAATCAAACAATTACACGGTGCAAATGCTGTTGAAGTTATACTCACTGGAGAATTAGAAAGAAAACACCCTACATTTCCAGTCAGTCTAATTAAACCATACAAAACTAGTGATAATGATAAATTTCCTTTAAGAAAAGATAACATCAGAGTTGTAATACCTCCTTTAGAGAAAGAAGAAATTAAAATTAAGAAGATATTACAACATAGAAAAATCAGAAAAAACAATGAGGACATTAAACAGTATTTAGTAAGATACAGTGGTACCAAAGAAGATGAATGGCTTACAGTTGATAAAATACCTGATGCTGATAAAATTCTCAGACAATACAGAGCTGATAAAAGAAAATAACATTCATTTATTTCTTGGATCAGCCTTTTTAGAGGGAGGAAGTGTCAGCCACAGAGTACATGTCACAGTACCTTTCATGTACCAAGTAACTGCAACACCTGTACTTATGTACATAAGTACTTATCCATAATGTTGATTACCTTTACCTCTTGTTATCTTATTATTATCATTAACTTATCTTATCCTATTTATCTTACATTTATCTTATCTGTTAATTACTTATCTATTTAAATACATACCTGTGTTCTACATAAGTAATTATCACTTACCTTTCACTCCCTTGTCCGTGAAATACCTGTACCACAAGTTATCCCTCTGCTACAGTATTTTCACGGTCAAATATTATTACAAATAAATATGTACATGTATTAAATAGTAAGTATTAAGTGTCAATAGAATTAATACATTCAATACATGCACAGATCACAATTATGACTACATTATTAGAGGATCTGTTAAGTACACATCAAGAGCAACTAGTACATTGATCAACTAGTACCCAATTATGATGTCACTTACTGATCATGACAAATAATGATCAGTCACTCAATTGATGTGCTCATTCTCCTGGCCAAAGCTCCCTTGATTCTGAGCGCTCATTCTTTCCCCCCTTCAGTATTCTGGAACTTATAATCAGTGCCACTTCCACTGATTAATCCCGAGAATATTCAGACACCAGTTAAACCAGTTAACATTTATATTGATACAGTACCCGTAACCAACATAAATCTTGTCTACATTTATTGTTCTTAAGCTTCAGTACTCTTACTCAACTTATCCACAGTATTCATAGCCTTGCTGAATATTCCCATCAACAATACCTGTTAATCTTCAACTAATTTTGTTAAAGCTTAATAAGTATTGTTAGCCCATTCCCTTTGGGGAATAACCAAATCAATCCCAGGTGAGTCTTAGTACCCTGGATGCCTATTAATACCTTGTATTGATCCGGATGCGCTGTTGATAGCAAGCCTCTCAGTAAAGACCATACTGATAGAGTGAAACCTCCTCTTTACAGGACTGGTATTAATCACCCACTACCTAACACTCACCACGCTCAAGAACTTCAGTCAACTCATAGTAACAACCTTTTTACTATTAAATACTCAGGTTAGTTACCCAGAGGCTGACACATCCTCTGGGACTTATCAGTCTAAGGTTTTCGAATACCAAACCAACAATATTTATTCAATTTGAGAAACATAACACCGCTTGAGTATTCCCCCCTAAAAGCTTCCAGCTGAGGATAAATGACATCCCCGATGTTAACCTACCCTTCTGAAATTTCCTGATGAAGCTTGGCGTAAATCTGGATCAAGTTTAATCCACAGGCCACTGATATACTTCAGCTTTTATACCCTTTGCATCTACCTTCACCCATCTTCTGCTATTTGCTGTATACCAAAGGTGGGCAAACAAAACCTGTAATCATAAACACGGGGCTTCCTGGGGTTCTAGATTCCCCATTCAAAATTGAATGGCTGCTTTAATGCACGTGACCTGCACATTCACAAATAAGAAGGTACTCAATCCCATGTGTCTTTTTTCATTTCATGCCCCCCCCTCTCCTTGATCAAACTCCACTGGGCAAGGCGGATATTTTTGGGAAGGTTTATAGCCCCCCCAGGCTACACCCCAAATTTTGGGTCCATGAATTCTATAAATATCACCTAGGCAATACAGAAAAGAATAGAAATGAGTTCCACAGCTTCAAATCAGAGACTTCAAGAAAAGCCACAAATTATTTCAAATCAAAAGTTGTTGATTTTTCAGTAGTTCATGTGTCATGATGCTGTCACAGCAAGCAATATAAATGCTCATACTTAACATCATTTCTCTTTCTCTTTCACTATAATTGAAAGTACCACCCTGGGTCAGTGCAATTACAGTTCAGTTGAAGGTCTCATGATAAGGATTTCACAGGAAGATAGTGGCAAATTTGTGTTGGAGTCAATCAAACACATTCCCATCCTCCTTTGGCAGCTCTCATATCTTTGGGGAACCACAGATTTGAATATAGCATCTGGTCCACACAGCTCCATGTTGGACACAACTGGGTCAGAGATGGAGGTTTGTGGAAGGATAAGTTGCATCAACATAGAGTGAAACAAACATCAGAGAAAAAGAGAAAGAAACGAAAAGAAGAAAAAGAGAAGACGACATACCTGGGTCAGAGATGGAGGTTTGTGGAAGGATGAGGAAAGGAATCCTTCCACATACTCTGGCCCAGGTATAGTGTGAACTCAGTGACAAGTGAGTGACATGTCTGATGACAGGTGAGAAGCACAGGAAAAGAAAAAAAAGAGGAGGAAGCACTACTCCAACACTCCAGTGCCACACATGTCATTTTCAGGGCCTGACATCAGAGTGAAACATGATTTTCTCCAGCCCCCCCCCCATGCATGCAAAGGAGCGAACTTATCGCAAGTCTCCCGCTGCGGCGGGCGCATCTGGCAGCGTAGCGCTGGCCAGGCGGTTCCCGAAGGGAACTCCCCGCAGGGGAGACTTGGGCCAGAGGTCGACAAACTCAGGTGCTGGGTTTGAGTTGTTTTGGTGGGAGCGTCACAAGATTTGAAATCCTGACGCTCCCTCAAAACTTTCTTGATGTTTGGTCTGGAATTTTTCAAGACCTGCCTGATCTTGTTGATCAGGCCAAAACTTAGAAGTTGCACCTTGCAACTGTAATTAATAATAAATTTCTTAAATTATGATTTGAACTTTTTTTGAGCTCAAATGCGGGGTTTGCTCAACTTGGGCCCACCAAAAGAAGCCAAGTTGAGTTGAAAAGTCAACCTTTTCAAAAACTTTTTATAAATAATTAACAAGCATTACCAAAAAACTGAACACAGGGAAATATGGGCAAGACACAGGCCTCCCCTGTCCCAGGAGGAAATTAGATGAGTATGATTAAAGGAGTGCTTAGAGTGGAAAACACACAAAAAAGTGAGTTTTCAGTTGAATTTTGAAAACTCAGCACGCGGGGATTGTCACATTTGTCTTAGGCCTCCACTGGCGTGGACAGCTCCGCTGCTCGCTACCGCTCCCGCCGTGGAGGCCTAGTTAGGCTCGGCAAAGGAGGGATGATTTTCATATGTCCAAAACAATCTCATTCTCATGGGTAGAATCATAGATATTGAGTTTGGTTATCCATGCTGCTGACAGGTCAATGGTGAATGAAGTCCAGCAGTTAACTTCAAGAGAGAAATATGGATAATGATATTAAGTTTGAAGCAAACCAGAGAAACCATTTTTTTCCCTCTTTTCTTTGTTGGTCATGCAGTTAATTTGGTTTGATGACAACGTGATAAATTTTGATTCAACAGCTCTAATACCTAAACAGAAAAAAAGGAAGAAGAAAAAACTTGGTATGTATATAAATACAATCTAACACATTCTACCTCCATTCATCGATGTCGATTTTCCAGAGATCAAATCAGTTTCTAAGTTTGTGAGATTAGATTTTAATTCAAGTTGTTCGATTTGGACTCGATCCTAAAAGAGAAATTAAATGCCCAAACGAAACTTGTCAGCTTGAGGACCCAGAAAAACAATCAATCCACTTAGGATCACAATCCTAATGGTATACGATCAGTCGGGCTTGAGGGTTTTGTTCAGGAATAAAAGGAAAGGGTAGAACTGACGACCAATTTTTTCAACTCGGATTTCAACTTTTTGATTTGGTCCTCAGTCACTGTACTCGATTCGATCCGGTTCAAATCTTTCTCAACCTGCTCGATTCGTTTGACTTGATTTGTGATCTAGAAAAAGAATTTGACGGAGTCAAATAGAAAGATCGGTAAGCCATTCTTTCAAGCTATGGTCTGATATTTAGAATTTCCACATCTCTCCAAAGTAAATCGATAAATAGAACATGAAGCGGGAAAATGCTTAGAAAAAAGGGGGGCAGTGATACTAACTTTCAAGGTTGATGCCTTGAGCTCTTCAACCGATAATAGAAGGATGTTGCAAGCGTTTTGATATTCTTCAAATAGATCTACAAATTTAGGGATCGAATTTCCTGTTCAGTCCCTGATATATTTTTTCCTGATTGAAAAAAAAAGAAACTCCTACGAAGATAAGCGTAGCTTCCAGTGACGGTGAGACCTGTCAAGAACCCCAAGATCCTAAATGTTAAATGGATTAGATTGAATGAGTAAGTCATGCAACACAGACCCAAGCCGAAGTCAATTTTGAAGAACCTACCCGGCCCTGATACCACCAATCGGACGATTGTATTTGACCGATGGTGGGGTCACAATTTGGACGTTGGGCTGATCCCTAGTGAATAAAGTGGAGGAGAAGGGTCGTTTTTGGGCTAACAGCAATCGATGAGGCAGTGTCCTGATCAAGCGAGTCATCTTGTATTTTGAGCTGACTGGCTTCTGGGTGCTGTTCTAACTTTCGGGTACGATGGCCGAGGCTGATGAGTTGATTGAGCTGACTGCTGAGCTTGACTGGTGTTTTCTGGATTGTGATGATGCCAATTTGCGAAGGAGGTGGTCCCGCCGGTAGTCGGCGTGCCGGGGGGTATTCGGTGAGAGGAATCTAGGGAACAGCAGCCGGGCACCCTATCCCCGAGGGTCACGGGGAGACCGAGGACATACTTCAAGATGACCAGGAGTTTTCTTCTTTCGATTTGTATCCAACACCAACACCAACACCAACTACGATGGAAAAACAGTCAAATCGGAAAAGAACTCATTCCGGTCCTGCCAACGATCAAACCCATCAAGCAAGAAAGAAGGCCAAGATGAAACATGCTCGAACTATCCATACCCAAAACTTTACCCCGGTTCGTCAATCTTAAAATCTCTCAACAAAAAAAAATACATTTGTTTGGTATTCCAGCCCTGAGTATTCCTTATTTTCGGACAAGCAGCAGCATTCCAAGTTGCCAAAATTTTTGGACGTCGAGAAATTCATCAGTGTGCGTTTTTTTAACAAAAAATATCTACTTTGAACTTGAAGGAACTAGACAAACAATTAAAAATTCATTATTTTTAGTCCAGAGCCTTCGAAATTGGAGCCATGGAAAGGTCTATGAAGCTATCTCGGTAAGAGAATTCATAGATCAACAAGATTGGTCAAACATATCCATCCCTGATTTTGTTTTATTTTCTTGTTATCAAGGGATGCCTCGGGCAAAAGGTCTTTTCAAACTTTACCAAGACACCTAAGGAGACGAGCAGCCAGTCATTTTGTCAGAAGAGTACCAACAAAATTAAGACCAAAAGCCCGTTTTGAAGTTTGTAACCCGTTCTTGAGTTACTTGCCTCCTCCTTGAAAATTCTTCTTTACTTACCGTGCTTGAATCGTTCCCACAAATCATTGTCCAGATGAAAAATGACAAACCGAAGGTCTTATCCAAAGCCGTCAAACGCAAATTAAGCCTGAAAAAACATAAAAACTATGATAGAACCAAGACCTTACTGAAGCGACAAGGTGAGTCTCACGGGAAAGATACAATCTCATAAACCTCGCGTATCTGAATCACATTCCTTTCCTTCCACGTTGAATTACTTGGTTTATACAGTTGAAAAGAAGTGGCTAAAGACTCACATATGGCACGCGAAACGAACCAAAATGATAGATCTTTGGGGTTTTAGATTGGTCAGTCTTTTTTCCCACTGATCAGCCTTTGATCAAAAAAGACGGTTTAATTTTTCTCAAAGTCCCAATGCGAATGTGAAATGTGACGACTAGCTCCTACTTCTATTAAACGTGTAGGCCAAGACGCCAACTGAGAAATGTTTTCGACCCACCTATCGGGCTGCTAGACACGGATTTACACTGCACGATTTATCTTATTACACTCATTTAAACTTGACCGCCGAAGAAGACTTAATCAAACAAACATTGAAAATGATTTGTGATCCAACCGGGGTCGATCCTTGCTCACTAAGGTCTTTTATAAAAACAGCCGGTCGAATGACTCCTTTGAAATTGAAATCTGGTCTGATCAGCTCCTTACCACAGGTTTATCCCAGGTCATCGGGCTGCCGAAGTCAATTTGTATTCGCATCAAGGCTGGCCATATTCTCTTGTCGGCCCGGCGACCTTACTATGGCGTCCAATATCTGACGCGACATCGACATTTAAGGGGCCGCTTCTGAACCCTTCACTTGATGTAGCCAACACCCAGTCATCTAACCCCAGTCCCTCTTCCGGGTCTTCAACGCAACGTACTGTCCTACTTCAGATCCATCCATCCATCAAAGCTTCAGTGACCGAGGCCATCGGACTGGCCTCTCAAGGAAAAGTACTAGTCGAAGAACTGGTTGAATTGGGCTGTCTCGAGCTCGGCGGACCAAGATGCTTAGAGATGATGGGACGAGTGTTGACTGGTAATCAAGAACCCGAAAAACGCGAGGTCAGTCGGCACTTCAGTTTAGAGTGAGCTCGAATTGATCCGGTCTGCTCTGTGCCCAGGTTGAAACTTGGCTGGACGCAGGATTTAAGCCTCACGTGATTCCAATGGGAATGATCGTTGGACTTACGGTTGATGATCCCAGGCTAAAGTTTCGTAATGTCTATTTCGGAGATATGACCTTTAGTCGTCAGATGACACTAACTATTCATTTACTTCTTTTGATTTCTACAGATTTCCGCCCAAGAAGAAGAAGAAATCCGAGGATTTATGTCCGCTTCAGGCGAAAGTAATTCAACCTGTGATCCGTCTTGCCAAGTGTGACAGATTTTGGGATAAATCACAAATGCAGAAAAAAGTGAATTTCAAAAAATCGGATCTTGACCGAAGAAGAGCGATGGTAGGTACATTCACATATCTACCAAATCATGAGATATCATGATTCTCTATCGAGGATTATCTCAACTATTGATGTCCTGCTGATTTGACAGTGGGTTTTGTTTAGTTGGATGTTCCAGGGAGTGAGCTACCTAGAATAGAGGAAGATGATCAGATCTCGATTTTACTAGTCCGAGTCGGAGGTGGTTGGAGGATGATTCTTCCGAACAATTGGACGAAAGCATTCTTTCATTCGTTCATATTTTCGTCTGCCCGATTAGTTTGTCTCGATCAACGAGCACAGATCGATTTCGAGGCCGGTCGCCCAAGTTTCCCGAGAGATTATCCGACCTTACTTCCGGCCACTGAGCTTGCCGATCAACATGGCTCAGAAGAGGCTCGATATTGGGCCAGTAAACCGCCAGCCAAGAGGGTGAATTTCAAATTGGTGCAATCCAGAGGTGGCGAGGGCGGTGATCCCTTCGTCCCAGATTGGAATGTTGTGATCGGCCAGAAAGGAATCCAAAGAAACGGGCGAGCTGAGGTTATGAAAGAAGCGCTTCAAAGTGAGACTACTCTGGATGAACCGCTTCAGCCTTGGCTCTTGATTGGTCCACTAGTCGGTGTGATTGTTGAGAACGTGCAAAAACTGGCGGATTCGACGCGGGGGACACAGTCGTTGGACGCCATCTGCGGGGTGGCGTTTCAATTGATAGACCGGATTATCAGGAAGTTGACGGCCGATTTGGAGTGGAATCAGATCGAAGACAATTACAAGTCACATCAATTGGACACAGGACTCGTAAGAGTGAAGTTGTTTCCCAGTGGTAAAGATGGCAAAGGGGGAGTACTACAACCACTTGCAAGGTTATATTGGAATCGGAACAAAGATGTAATTTTTTCGCGTTTGCTTGTATCCTCACTTGGAATAATTTGGACAATCTTTGCTTACCTCAACTTTTCTTTTGACCTGCAAAAAACCATTTGCGTGCTAGGAAAATCCACCCAAGGATAGTAAAGGAAACAAGCAAACAGAGTTCATTGGATTGATTACCACGGGTAGTTTCCGTCTAACAAATGGTTCTTCGATCGGGTTCGGTGCGATCTCTTTAAGAAAGCTGATCCCAATGATTATCTCTCAGCAGTAAGTCTCACTCTTCTTTCATACATGTGCACGCCTTTCTGCTTTGTTGGATTAAATGATGTCATGAATGTGAAAAGGCAAAAAATAAACTTTTGAAAACTTTATGAATTGTGTTGCTGTACTATGAATTTACATCAATATTTATACTTGATATCTACTCCCTCCATCTCCTTGCATCAAATGCTGATTGTGCCTCTCTCTCCCCGCATGTCGACCTTCGAATTCCCTCGGGCTCAATTTGATAATCGTACAACATTCACATCAACCAGATGGATGAATGCCGCTGGCGCGACGGCGATCCGACAAGACTCAGATGGCCAAGGCGTGACTGAGAATAAGCAGACCCAGAAAAGATCAAGGAGCATTCAGATCTCGTATCGCAATAAAAATCGTTCCGAACTCGAGCCCGCTCGCGTTGAACTTGTCGATTGATTCCGTTGTTCTTTTTTGTTTGAAAATCATATATCGTATTCTCTTCTACCGCCTCTTTCCCCATTTGTTTGTTTTTTTCTTTCTTTCTTCATGAATCCATTCATACAATGACTTGCCCAAGCACATGTGTCTCACTAAAGTCCAGTATTATTCTATACGGCTAACTTGACAGCCTTGCGCACGTTTGTCGCGACCAAACGAAGTTGCTATTCCCGATACCGCTCATTCGATTCAAGCATGTAACTACAAGTTACTGTCCATTAATAAGATTATTTTTCATGCCCTTCCGAATGATGTCATCAGCTGTTCTCTACATTGGCATGATTGTGATCTTATCGTAGGTTGATTCATTACATTCAAAAGATTCACAAAGACTAAGATTGCAACAAGTCAAGTATGTCGAAATCAATGGCAGAAATATAGAGAGATCGAGCATAAGTTCAATCTTTATTCAAAATGAAAATTCCCTTCGAGGCGGAGGGCAAGTAGTGTGTAGCGCTCCGCCACAAGCTTGTTTGTTGGTGTTGAGGAAATTCCTTGATTGTATATTACTTTGTTGAGGTCAAAGAAAAAGTAAATTGTGACCGAGAAACGACAAGGTCCTCTTCTTTTGTAGACTCATGTGTTGAATTCTCGCGTTCTGCAATTGTCGACTATCTCTTCGACCTCATCTTTAGCGAAGTTGATTATCTCTTGGGGCTGTATACTTCATCTATATTTTTCCAACAAGAAACGCACCTCAATGTCTGACATGGGCATCAGGCTTAGGCCTTCCCTTCCTGGCCCAACTGGATGGACTTGGTCAAGTTAAGGTTTCGGCTAACTAATCAAAGTCCTCTGAAATTGGAGGGGGGATGTGCCCTCCCGGAGGGGCCCTCCGAAGCCCTCAGCCCTCCGTCGCGTAGGAGGCAGGGACATTTTTAAGTCAGAGGCCTAGGCTTATTGGTGTTTCGCAATAATTGATAACGCGTTGAAATACAGACAAGTACGGAAGCTAAAGGTCAAGAGATACTCGGATCTGCTCCTGGAACCGAGCTGTACCGAGCAGCCGAAGAGCCCTATCCACACTCATGGGGATCCCTGTCCGCGTTAAATTCTTGCGGTGTGTTTCCACAATGCCTCTACAACCGAGTCGCCTGATCAGCTACATATACAATGACAAGCTGAGTCGAAGTTATGAAATTAATGAAACAACTGCACATGAGCTCGGTGCTATCATGCTGAGATGACAAGGTATGTGTTTGTTAGCTTCAAAGCTCAAGACAACCCCTCGCAGATCATCACTTGAGTGAAGAATGACACAATGAGTGCAGGGAGAGATGAAAATTATATTCCAAAATAGAAACTGAATACAGAGAAAAAACAGCTCAAGTAGACTATGTGAATGACTGTACCATCTTGGATGCTTTTCCTTCTTTGTTTCAGCGAGCTCGGTTTGCACAAGGACCCAAAAGAAATAGAACCAAACGAGATAAAATAAAGACGAGTAGACTCAAGAGGGGACAAGAAAAAGAAGGACATAGAGGACGAAAAAAACGAGTGTAGAACAACGAGGACGTGATAACAAGACATATAACATCTCAACAACCCACGCCTAACCTTGACTACCGATAGCTCGTGCCAGTGAACCTAAGGGGTTTTCTTGTGGTTTGGATCTTCATTCGACCCTGTAGAGGGGGCTTTGTGCTCGGTCGATGGGGCGGAGCTGGAGAAGCCTGCGCCAGCGTTTGGAGCTCCGAAGCCGCTGCCGTGCTCCTGAGTTCCGGAACCGCTGTTTGCTCCGTGAGTAGCCGAGGGTGGTGAGGAAAAGCCATTACCTGTGTTGCCGAAGTTGGATGGTGGCTTGGGAGCGTTCCATTGAGATTGACCAGCGCCGCCATAAGCTGGAGCTCCAACAGGGTTTCCATAGGACGGTTTGTTTCCAGCGCTTCCAGGATGTCCGTATGGCGCATTCGTCATTTCGTTCGAGGCCCCAGCGTGGTTCATCCCCGCATTGTTGTTCGGGGTGGCGTATGGACCAGTCCCAGGCTGTCGATAAGGACTAAAGGGCGAAGTTCCAGTGGTGCCGGGCGCCGCACCCTGTCCGAATCCAGAATTGCCGGTTGGGTGCCCGTATGGAGAATTACCGGTTTGGTGCCCATATGGAGAAGGGGTCTCTCCGACTTTTCCATGGTTGGGGTTGTTAACATAAGGCTGATTTCCAGTGGTACCAGGCGATGGAGGCATTCCTACGCGGTTGGACTGATTGGGGAGGTGATCTGAGGCGGTTGGGGGTTCTGGCTTGTATCCACCACTGGGCGGGGTGCTGTGGTGGCCAGTGCCTGGAACAGTGGAGTTCAAGCCGGTACCTGCATTCGAGCCGCCGGGGGTAGTTGGCGTGGTTGGTCGAGATTTGTGGTCACTGTCCCAGGGGGTTCTGGACCCGTTTGTGGAGGGGCGATGGACGCTATCCACAGGGGGAGTGGAGCCGTTTACGGAGGGGCGATGGACGCTATCCACAGGCAGAGTGGAGTTGTGACGGCCGTCCCTTGTTGCCCCAGTTTTGTGAGAGGCGTCGACCGGGCTGCTGGAATTGTGAGCGGCTCTGAGGACTGCTTGGAGGCGTTTAGGCTCCCGTGGGCCGGTCGGTGGAGGGATGCGAGCAAATACACCCTGTCGTTTCGTGACTGTCTCTGAGATGCGAGTGAAGCTGGTGGTCTTGATGTTGACAGAGGATAAGATGGTGGAATCGATTCTTGCGGTCCGGAAAACGTGGGTAACGATGTGATCGATGTTGATACCGGTGTTGTAGGTGACTGCAAGAGCTACCTGCAAGTGTTCACTGATCCTTGTGAATGTGGCTAGAAGAGAGCACGATGATGTTAGGAAACCTCATAGTAAGTACTTCCAAGAACATTCATCAATCCGCTTACTGCCAAAGTAGGTCGTGTATTGCGAGTAGAAACGTTGCCTGCAAATTTGCACCATGTATTGTAGGCGGGTAAACCACACCGTGACTGATGATTCGATGATTTCCTGCCATGAAGTAATAGTGACAAGATGGGTCAGCAGTTGATTGTCTCGCGGCAGAAGACTGCAAGGCTCACCGTCTTGACCCCTGCGACATCGCAGTTACAGCCTCCCCCGATCACGGTGACACTCTCTTCCAACCTTTGTTGGAATTGGGTCAAGGTGGCCCCGGCCTCTTGAATTGTTGTTTGCGTGTACAAAGTCTTGTAGGTCTCCTCGAAGTAGGTTTGGATGGTAGTGTAGGTGTCGGTTACTTGGGTGAAGCTGGTCACGATATGTTCTGAGATCACTGTCGTGTCAGACTCGACCACTTGTCGCCTGCAAAAAGGAAGTCCTTCATGAATATATGGTGCCCGTGGGTATCATCAGGCTAAGAATATGGCAGCAACACCCACGGAGAAAGAGATCGTCTGTGGTCCAGTTGGTTCTGGAGGGCTAGGCCTGCACAATTAAGAAAAGTTGTCAGCTTTAGCTTAGCGAAGCAGACGTGAATGGCTGGTCACGCACAAGAAGCCACGGCCCAAAAGAACAGCAGGGCACAACGCATGTTGAAGTTGATAGCAAGGAGTGTCTGGGTGATGGCGGAGTCACTATGTAAGACTCCAATAAAGGGAAAGGAGGATGCGGCCGGAAAAGATGGCGGCAGAGGTGCTGTGGCCTTTCCGCTCACGCTGCAAGCAAGTCTCAATCTTTATACATTGCGGAAGAAGGCTCACACACCCTGTGCTTGGCGGGCAATGTCCTGCGATGCCCTGCCGAAGAACAATTATCGCATCACCTATCCCGACATCAAGCGTTCTGGGCAGTGGTTTTTCACATGTCTCATTGCATGGCCTGTGGATCACCCAATCTCACCCAATTATTCAGGGTAGTAGTTCAGAACTCGGTTGCATGAATTCATTGATTCCAAAGGCAAGTGACTTTTTGAACCTTCGCTGACAGGCGAATGTCAATTTGTCGAATTTAAGATATTTGAAATTTGTCAACAAACGGTTGATGTGTGACTTATAACCCTGGCGGCTGTCTGGTTGTGCCAACTTCCGGTCAAGTCACATGTGATGGAATCGAATTCATCCCACAACACGGGTCACGGGCAGCTAAGCAGAATCGAAAATGCCACAACTAATCAACCATCTCCTAACTCAGCACTTCCGAGCACACTATCAGCATGAAACCAGAAATTGGTTTAATGTTCAAGAGTGCACGACGGCCTGCGAAGAAATTGGGGTTTAAAACGAGTCGAAGACTCAACTTTCAAGCGGTGCAAGCCGTCCTCGTGAGATCTTTGATCTGAGCTCAATTCTCAAAAATTTGAAATTGTCAGCAAGTCAGAACAGGAAGGTATGTGGGATTGTGTCATGGCTGCCAAGGATCGGCGGTGGCCGACAGATGTTCTGCGCTGCGCCAAATGCACTTCCTCTCCTGAGGGTTTTGATAGTGGTAAAGATTTCATCAATTTTTCTGCCAACGACTTCGGGCTTTTAGGGCTGCCCGGGAAGAATCATACCGAAAGTAACCGAATATGGGCCCTGGCCTGACTCAAAACCATTGGCAGCGGATTTTCCCTCTCCTCACCATATTGTGGGTCTTAACTTGCGATGCGCCGCCTAATGAAAAAACCCCTACCTCGCGATGATAGTGGCTATATCCATTTTTGTTGTTGTCTTGCCCGTCGGAAGAAGTTGCCCCAAAACCGCTGGGTGAGCGAGAGTCTATCCTGGTGTTGTCACCGCTTGAGTGAGTCTCATTGGAGTTGGGAACGAATTCCTCGACACTCACCGGATTATATATTTCACTGATACCCATTGCGCCGCCGTTGTTAGTATCATTACGCCCAAATCCAATTGTTGATGAGAAGTTTGCGGTGAGCGGGACGTCAGGGAGGGCGTGAATATTGGGCTGGTCGCTGATGATCGACCATCCGGCAAGCATTGAATGAGGCCGTGCTCTCTTGATGGTGGTCTGACTGGTCAAGAAGTTCTGATGGATAGTAAGAGGGCATTGAAAGATAGCGATGTTGCCGAGGAGATGAAGAGTAGAAGGTTACATCCTGAAGGGGAAGGAGGATATATAAGAGTCAGAATGTCTTTAAATTTATTGAGATGGCGGAGACAACTATCGAATTGATTGATAAGCCTCGAGAGACGATAGAACAAGACCATACGAGGAAGAAAGAATTCAAGGAACAGAGATGAGGGATACCATTGAAATATTGATAATCAAACCCCGCCCCTGCCAGTGCCATGCCATCCTTCCTACATCTGCTTCCCGGCTCTTGGATGACGGTTGAGATCACATCTCTAACCGTTTTCAGCTGCTCTATGACGAGTTCCATATGAATCATCGCAAATCTACAGAAATCTACCCGCAGAGTTGGATTGATTGGGCCAGAATGTTGAGAATTTATGAAGAGAATGCACACTTATGGATCTATTTTGAGTCAAGGAGTAACAAGGCACCAGATTGATCTATTCCAAATAATACATCTGTGGACTGATGACGGGCAATGGTACAAAATGATACGACTGCGAATAAAATTGGAGTCCCGGATATTAGAAGTCAAGTTATGTACTGCAATTTTTATCGGCGGATATCAACCTGCCCAGCTCTTACCTTGATGCCCAGTTGCGCTTGTATCAGTATGAAATTGGGAATAAGCTGTTCTATTGGATTATGTATATCACTGCGATGCTCGAGCATGGCTGGTTGATGGGTTCTTCCAAACGGCGCGACGCGCGTTGCATCGCGCCGTTTGCGGTTTGTGGTTTGTGTCGCCAGTCACGGCCCAGGATGAGATGAAACCATTCTAGGATCAGTAGGAGTTAGCTGTATGACCTTTACTTAAACCGGCCGGTTTTGAGCATGTAATTCATATGTTCCAGGTTGCAGGCTGGCTTGGGCACTTCAGGTATCGCCCGTTGCTCCAAGCAAGAACTCGTCTGGCCGTGAAGCGCCGACTACTCCAGCCATCCAGCACCAGCATGAAAAACTTCTGCCGAACCCCGCTCATCTTTCTAGCTTGCGCACAAGATGTTCTTTCGGTACAGCCGGGCCTCGAACAAGGTCCCGAACTAGGTCAACACATGTTGAGTAGTATCTATGGTTTTTAAGTGACGCGAATCTGGTTTGCTGAGGCTTAGCCAATATCAGATCTGCCTACCCACATGAGGAACCATCCTTTCCACGGCTTCCGCAGGATCTGATTACCCCGAGCACTTCTGATTCAGATGTCGGTACGAAAAAATCGCGCGGAATGGAGTTTTTCAATGTGCCACATGCTCAACCTGGGGGTCAGGAGATTTCTTGCAATTGTGCTAAGGCCCAGGGGGCAGTTCTACTTACGCTACTCGTCCCTCCATTTTCTCATGTATGACTGATAGATAAAGCTATCGAGCTGAACCTGTTGGATCGAATGAGTGATAATGTGCGAGACAATCGTGGTCCTCGCCTTATTTCATCATCAGACCCTCCAGTCAGAGAAATTGATTTTCTGGGTAATAAATCATTTTGTTTCCCGAGGTCTGTCCTGCGTGTTTATAAATGGCGCGTGTATTTATCGAATTCGAGCTTCTTACAGGGATTTCGAACAAGCGAACCTTGTCTGCTTACCCCTCGATGGAGCTAACCCAATTCAAGAGTCATAATGGGGCTACAGACGATCGGCTTGGTTACCAGGGTATTGGTGACTGTAAGCAAAATTCAGTGTTTGATTCGTGGGGATCACAATTGGAGACCTCTTTGATCAAAGGAGTGAATCCAGTAAACGGACACTATCACATTTATCCACTTGAAACTCACAGAATCGGTGCAATTCTTCAGCTTCTGCCAGTGCACCTCACCTGGATCAAGGATTGGCATTGGAGCCTGTGGGCGCCCTTTGGAAGAAGCAAAAAGTCACGTCTACTAGGAGCGGCGATGCTGCTGATTATATGCGTAATCATTGGATGGATAATACACACGCCTCTAGGAGTACCATCAACAAATGTAAGCAACATCGAATCCAGCTAGCGTTGATCACAGTACTGGATGAACGAGAATTTCACTATCATATTCAGTGGCTAAAGGCACTAACAATGGTGGTGGAATCCAACAGACTCTGAACCCCAGCTAGATTTACGCTTGACTTTGAAGCCTCCGGACGGCTTGAGGGGAAAACGAAAAGCTGCATCTACTACACCCGGAGGTCCTGCGGACTTCATCAGTTGGTCGGTATTGCCTGTGGAGAACAATGGGAACAATTTTAGTTAGCTTCATCCATTTATGAACTTGGTTTCAGTTTATGTTTTTATTTTTCGGGCCAATGATATCAATCAGAGACATGGAGATCATCAGAGTATGCTGATTATGACATGTTATCAGCATAAGTAAGCTAACAAAATTCGCGGAATTCTCCAGATTTCAAACCGCATCCAATTCTGGGCTCATCTTTCAAGGATCAGGCTGCCTTGAAGATGAATCAAGAGGTTTCTGCCCCTGCACCAGCAATGGAGGCCGAGAATATCAATGGGCAGATACTTCCACAAAAAACCCCTGAAATAACCACTGGTGAGTCCTTAGCACATTGATTTCAACATTCATCTAGTTTTCTCATGGGAAGTCACAACGAGAGTCTTGAATTTTGTTTGATTTCGATTTAAGGTCCCAATAGTTCTCTGCGTGTGCCTGTAGTCCAATTAATGTCCAAGTCACCTTCTGAAGTTCCCGATTGGATGAGAGACAAACCTCAGGTTACGGTCGCCCAAGATAAAGAACTATCGGAAGCTGACCACGCGTCAAAAACAATTCCAATGTCACCGCATCGCAGCCCACCCCTTCCCTTAATCAAAGAAAAGCTGAAAGTTGATATAACCTTGAGGAAAAAGATTGCACATGCTTTACCGCGGGGGGGAAAAGACAACAAAACAGTTCACGTTGCAAAGGTCTCCGAAATCAAGAAAAAGAAAAAAGTGATAGAAAGTTCATCGATGAGAAGTAAGAAAACAAGGCAAACAAATCTAAAAATGCAATCCCTGTTTTATTCGAGGCATGTGGAGAAGATATGGGGATGGATTTTTGGAGGGACAGCCTATTGCACTGACTCCAAACATCTTGAGTTGAAGGACAAAAGGAATTCACAATTTACCACCGAACTTGCTTCAAAAATGAACGAAATGCTTGAACAGCGGCGTGTTTCCGGAAGTTTAGTCACCACTTCTGAGGTCCACGAGAACGCGACACAGTTTGTTGACCTGCTTTTGTTGATCAACCTGAGATTGCTTCGGGGATTCGGGAATGCATCTGACGAATTGTATTTACAAGAGCTCGATGTGCTGCACACATGGCTTCTCGATGTTCTTACAAAAGAATGTAATCCCAGTCTCAGTGCTCATGAAGGTAGAAGCGTATTCCCAACGCTCACGCTCGATCAGGTGGTAGATAGCATTTATAACGCACTCAGTTCAAAATTATCAAACTCACTGATTTACCGACTGGTAAGGCAAGACACTCATTCGGAAGCTTTTGTGGGAGTAATCTCTGAAAGTCAGCTGGTGATGACTAAAACAATAGTAACTTTACTATCTTCGTACTATAAATTGGAGAACACAGATAAGTGGAACCTGTTATTCCGAGGTGAACACGCTTTCTTATCACACATGGCAAAACTTCAAAGCCCATACATAAAACACGAAGCCCTAGCGAAAGAAGGATCTAAGAAGTTTGTCGACGACCTAGAACTGCTGCCTTGGAAGCGAAAGTGTGATCTAGATCGGGAAAATTTGAGCAGTTCTTTAAAAATGAGTTTGCGCGTGTTAATCAGCAAGAAATGGAATGAGTGGATTCAACCTTTTGATGTAGGGAGTCCAGCCAATGTGGGAAACGACGTGTGGGCATCAATTGCACTGGTCCGTAGAGAAAATTCAAAGATAATCATCCAAGATTCCGATTCATTAAATCCTGTGCTGAATAAGTTTGACCCAAATGGGAGCAATCTGAGTCCAGCCTTCTTGGAAATGTGTAATGCCAAAAGGATCAGCTTCGATGAAGTAAAACAATTTGTACAAGCGGTTTGGGTTTTGAATTCAAAATTCATGGAAGTACTTGGGTATCATGCAAAGGATTCCGTTTATCTAGAAGAGCAGAATCACCTTCAGCATCACATGTTCAATGTTCTCAACAAACCTCGAAATCATGCAGAACTATATCTTTCCAAAGATGATACAGAAAATCAAGAAAGAGTAGTTTTCGATATAATTTTCTCTTCCTTAACGTGCAAGGAGACCGCAAGAATGCATAAACCAACATTTGAAACTCCAAAAAGAGTATCAAAACAAGACATAAAAATGGCAGAAGCGGCAGTCAAGATGATAGGCCATCATTATCGGAAGAAGAACATCGCTAAATGGTTCAACCTGTTTAAAGATGAAAACGGATTTATAAATGCTTTTATAAACATTGTAAATAGAAAAGGGTACAAGGAAGCTCATAGGTCATTCAACTTTGTTACTTCAAAATCAATTAGAAAGATGAAATTGTTACCTTGGAAGGGTAGCATGTATACAACTTCACTTGAAAGGCGTACTGATATCAGGTCAATCAGAAGAAAGCAGCGTTTCCATTGAATGTTTCACGTTCAAGAAAGTGATTTGATGTTTGGGATTATTGCCCTCTCCCATTTTTCAAATTTTTGTATAGATTTCTCCAATCAAAGCCAGTTTTTTAAAAAAAGAAAAAGACAGCCAGTTTTAAAAATGAAAAAAAATCATACAATTACTATTCTTTTTTCTGATCTAAAATTTTGTTTTTGTAAACCAACTTGGTCATTTCAAATATTATTGAACTCACTTGAGCCAAAATTTGCCGTGGTACACCATTCAACATAGCTATCATTGAGATTATATAAATAGCTTCTACAATTTAGAAGACAGGAGGCATGAGATGAAGAGCTGATGAAATATAGCATAATTTGAAGCTGATGGAGGCAATTTACCTTCTGATAGACAAAATCTACACCAAGCTCCAAGATATGCACTGTATCACCTGTCCTAAACCTTATCCATCTGTACATGGGCTAAGGAGTCAACCCGTCCCCTGATTTGCGCGGTGAATACCTGGTTGGATACCAGGTATCACAAGATCCAGGTCATCCAAAGAGAAGCTGGCTAATCAATGGGATAGCTGATTACAAGAGACTGCTTGTACCTGTGAATGCTCAAACTTAAGAATGTATTTCTAATGAGCACACTGGCAAAGAAAGAAACACCATGTGAGAGAAACTAGAGAAATGAATCCTAACCTCAAGGCAAACAATGAATCAAGGAAGAAGACAAGGTAGGATGAACACGATAAAGAAGAACAAAGAGATAGAAACTAAGAGAAAATAGGTTAATCACAGGCTGCCTTTTGATGAGAGTGAAGCAGTACTGAGAGAACCTACTCAGATGATGAGACCAATAGCGTTCTTGAGGATTGACAAAAGACGTGATAAGGAATGGAAGCACAGACTTGAAGCACTGGTCTGGTCGGTGGGGTTTGTCAAAAGGAAGAGAAGTGCTAAGAAGGAGTTCTTGATTGATGAATGACTAGTTATGATGGTGAGCCACATCAGGCGGAGGAACAAAGAAGGAGATTGAGTAAGATGATGAGATCAGGATAAAAGGTTGTAAGTTGACAGCCTGGGTTCCACGAGGGAAGAAATTTGATTGAAGCAATGAGGGTTTATATGTGTGATGATTCACGTATGTATCTAGGTTTGCGTATGGAACCAATGACATCATAGGTCTAAAAGCAATGAAGAGTTTTGGCCAATGGTGTTATTTGGAAGAGAACTAAGAATATTAAAAAGATGATGCAAGAAATGTTTGAGCACACAGATGCGCTATCCAGAAAGGATGGCTTGGGCAATGAGCATAGAGGTACTGTCAGACACTGAGGCTGTAACCCATGTGTCTACAACCTGTACTTAACCAACAAGCACATGTACTGTAGTGTATTGGTTAAAGACTGTGTTATGACTTTGCCTCACCAACACACTTGGGTTCAAGTCCCAATTATGTAACTTTATATTTTTATTATTTTATTTTATACTTTTATGCTTTAAGTAATTCCACAGAATTACTTAAGTATTTACCTCTGTATTAGTATTCATATTTAGAAAGATTATATACATATAGCATGAAAGCTTAATCATCTCTCTATACACTTTAATTAGAGAGATGACATCATTCTTTCCCCTTTGAGCTTGTGTCATCATTTCCTCCACTTTTGGTTTAAATCTTAATTTATATACATATTTTGATCATTTATGATTTATATACATAAATGATCATCTGTAGGCCTCACCAGTCTCACAGGCAGGTTGACCCCTGCCTTTGTAATACTTAAGGAGGAGGTCTTCTTCCCAAGAATCCTCCCCCCAGAGATTACCATACAACCCGTTTACCTTACATCCAATAGTGAGTGGGGTTTATTATAATCTATAGAACTATTACCTATTTTTTCCTTTACATCCTTCCATCCCATCTCAACCCTAGACTACAGTAAAGTCACTACTGTAGCCTAGAAGAGAGCTGCCCATCGCTCTAAGCCCGGCGCTGCGAAGACCTTACCGCACGCGTCCCCTATAACTTCAGGGAGCTTAACCCCTCTGCTTTCTAGCATTGAGGAGAGGTTTCTTTTCCATTGGCTGCTAGTTAGCGCTAGCAGTTATATTGTGATCCTCACCCCATCAACGCCAGGTCACCTAAGAGACCGGCGCTGACAGGTACGATGTTCAGATATAAACAGTACCAGTCTATCCATGTCTGTTGAGAGAGGTGTGGTCAGTTGATTCCCTCATCTAAAACAGCTGGCTTGACATATTAACATGGGCTTCTGTAAAGGCCTCTGTTTTTTGGTTTTCATGATCCGGAAAGAATTTGAAACTGAAGGTATTATTTCTTTATAAGTATATAATCTTTTAATAAAATACAAAGGATTATTTTAATAAAAGATGATAAAGAAATAAGAGCAATACCTGAAGGCAGAACCAATCTGATGATTCAATTTCTGGTAATATTAAGGCTGGATAACAATGAAGATAAAAATAGCTTTGGATAATTTAAACAATATTCAGATAACTGTTGTAAAAACTGAATAGATTATCAGAAGATAATTACGTTGTTAGCCTAATTTGTTCATCACTCTTATTGCTTAATTATAAAGAAATACTATAATTTAATAGATGAAAGGATGTTGCTTCTTTGAGTAACAGCTGTATAAAGCTAATCGCCTGACAAGTCTATTGAAAAGTCCTCAGAATTGAGAATAGCTCAGCCAGTTGTTACTTTCTCTTTTTCTTTAAGAAAAAGGCATTCAAGGTTTATTCTATACTCACCGACTTTTGGTGGAAATATATGGTTGATGAGTTTGCGATCTTTAGACTTGTGCAAGTGTGAACTAAAAGAAAATAAGGATAATTTTTGGGTAAGCAAAGAAGTCGAACTTGATTGTTGATTCTGTTCTCATTCTTGCTCCTATGATTCAATCAATCAAAACTCACTAAGAGCTTGATGATTGATCAGGATCACCGTTATTATCTTGCCTCATGATGTCAATAACATCATTGCTCAATTCACAAGCTATGATCTTGTTTATTTCTTGTTCATCTATTGAACAGCTTATTTCTGCAAATGATCACAAATGATTGATCAGTGCAATGGTTATTATGTTTTTCAGGAAGTTTATCAAACATGTGATAAACTAACCTGATACTCTCCTCTTTTGAGGGCTAAGACCAGGAATCACATTCCAACAGATCCATGGCTGCTAATGTTGTTGTGGGTAGACTGGGTTGAAGCTTCAGGTATAATTAAATTATCTAAACAAATGAAATCCTGAAGTGTAGGCTTCTCAGCTATTTGTGAGTTTTGGACATGCCACCTACCCCTGTATCAGGGGTTATTTGATGGCTATTCTCAGGGTCAAGGTGTCAGCTATGTGTATGAAACTTTGGCTTAATTAATTAATATTGAAAGAAGTAGTTGGCAGGCACCTGAGCTGAAAGGCTACAGTCAGATGTGGTGGTCTTGCAGCAACTACTTTTTCAGGAATTAGTTAAGTTTTGAGTCTGGGATAAATCTTAGCTTAATAATAATTCTAGAAATAAGGTAGGGTTGGATTGGATAAAAAGACTACTCTAAAAGTAGGTGGATAATATTCACTGTACAGTGGGTGGACCATTATTTTTGGCTGCTTGTTTTGGGTTCTACAGCTTCAAAGCACAAACTTCAAGTCACAAGGCTTGGTGAATTGGTGCAGAATAGGTCCCAAAGAACTCATATGAAAAAATAAAAACAAAAAACAAAGTTTCAAAATTTGTGAAAAATAAAAAATAAAAATGTTTTTTTCCAAAAGCTTTGTTATTGATTTTGGGGGAGTGGCAGTGCTGAGAGAAAGAAAGATTTGAACATGGCAAGAATGATTATGAATGAAAAAAATTGGAACCAAAAAAGGTTGAGCCAGGTTGGCTGTCCAGATTGGATCCAAAACAGTAAATTCTAGTGCTTTACTACCATGTGAGCTGGTGAATGCCCTATTCAACAGCCGTTTAAAACCAAGGGGTAACCATGTTTTGGAATTTTCATTTATAATCATCTTCCCATTGGAAATTCTGTCTTTCTTTGAGCACTCACACTCCCCCACAATGAATATTAAAGCTTTTGGAAAAAAATATTTTAATTTTTTATTTTTCACAGATTTTGAAACTTTGTTTTTTTTTGTTTTTATTTTTTCATATTCATTCTTTGGGACCTATTCTGCACCACTTCACCAATTTTTGCGACTTCAAGTTTGTGCTTTGAACCTCTGGAATCCAAAACAAGCAGCCAAAAATAACGGTCCACCCACTGTACTTACTAAGTGTACTGGGGGTAA